AGGAACATATTAAATATCTAACAAAAAAGCTGAAATCCCTTTTAGGATTCTATTTCAGAAACAATTCATGCTTTTCTTCCCATGTAAAACTAAAACTAGTTCAATCAACTTTTTTACCTATCATCGATTACGGTGATGTAATATACATGCATGCATCTGCTCATTGTCTTCACATGTTAGATAGCGTTTATCATGGTGCACTGAGGTTTATTTCAAACAGCGGTTCTCTAACTCACCACTGTGTGCTTTATGCCAAAGTAAATTGGTCTTCTTTACAAGCTCGTCGCCTCACTCACTGGCATATGTTCATCTATAAAACCATCAGGGGTAAATTTCCTTCTTACTTATCCTCACTCCTATCCTGGAAGCAAGGACGTCATAACCTTCGCTCGATGGACTTCTTAAATCTGGTTGTTCCTAAAGTAAGAACCGAACTAGGAAAGAAAGCCTTCAGGTTCTCAGCACCTTACTCATGGAACAGACTTCAAGTTGAACTCCGTTTGCACAATTTAATACCCCTCAAGGAATTTAAAACTCTTCTAAAGACTCTGGAATCGAGGTTATCTATATGTAATTGTAAATACTAACTATGTTTTCTTTTCTTTCTTGTATTACTTTGTAAGACTCTGCATTGTCACTGTGTTGCTGCCACCTTGGCCAGGTCTCCCTTGCAAAAGAGATCTGTGATCTCAATGGGACAAACCTGGTTAATTAAAGTTTAAATAAAAAAAAATAAAAAATAAAATTGAGGTTTCGGCAGTGTAACCCTAAACAGTTAACTTTTAATAAATTCTTTGTTCTGATTTGGGATCAGATTGTTTGTCACCTGCTGATTACTGCTCAGTTCATGGGTTTACCAGCTTTATTCCATGTTTCCTTTTCATTTTTGAAATTTTTCAAAAACATGCAATGCAAAACTTTTTGGCACTGCTGATGAATATCTTAAGAAACCTGCATGCTTGGTGAAAGAAAATATGTCTTTATATTGTTCCTGTTGCACAGGAAGTCATGTGATCTATGACCATTTCCTGTTTTTCTAGGGTTTACATATGATGTCATGCAAATGCAAAATCCCTTTGTCTTTCAAAGCGCATTCATCTCAAAGTAGATTAAAGGTTGTTAACCTTTACAAAGTAGGTAATAGTGAAAGATGGAAAAGTTGTTTTAATAAATTATCAGTGAGCACAATCAGCACAATCAGGGAAATTATAAAAAAAATTATAAGCATGGAATGATAAGCATTTCCTAGAAGATAATGCATCAGCACAGCACAGTGAGACTTATGTTGACAGAGATAAAAAATATTTAAAAACTCAAGAAGTTTCTGAACTGCATAGTTTGCTTGAATCTTGGTGCTTTAATATTTCAGAATTGACTGTCAGAGACCACCTGCATCACCTGAAGCTTTTTGGAAGGCTTATTGGAAAGAAGCCACCATTCCTGAGACAGTGCTACATAATGCAGCACCTGACATTTGCCAGGTTTCATTGGAATTACAACTGGAACTGGAATTTGTGAAGCCTACATTTCCATTAAAAATAAAAAATCAAACTAAATAAAGACTAAATAGGACTAAGTAATGGTATTTGAAAAAACAATTAATTTATGTTACAATAAAACATAACACGTGCGGCATTAAGTCCACAATGTTTGTTATACATTAACGTTTAACTCATCTTCATACCAGTTGCCGATGATACTGTATATCTTGTGCATTATCCAGGTGTAGAGCTGTTTCTGTCAGGCCTGCTGGGTTTTATAGTCCCTCTGGTTTTTTGTATTATCTCTGATCACAGGGAAATTAAATCTGTAATTATTTATCTGCGCCAAATAAGATCAAAGGGGCCCTTTCCCTTAATAAGACGTTGCCAATGCCTTCTCCTCCACCTCCACATTAAGCTAAATTGTTTTCTATCCAGCTTGACATTATTCATGCTAAATATAAATATCTATTGTCTGCAAAGTGGTTTGCTTTGAAGTTCGTTTGGATTGACATTAATGGCAAAAGTAACTAAATTTGCACTCAGGTACGTTGAGTTAGTACTTTAATGTTGATATTCCCTTTGAATATTTACTTATTCAACTTTCCTAAATACAAATTTAGTATTTAGGAATATTTTATATTCTTGCATTTTTATGGGAGTGAAGTTTAAAACCTTAAGGCTTTTATAATGTACTCAGTGGAAAAGAGTCTGTGGTGAGTTATTGATTTTAAAACTTCTTTAGTAATACAGTATATGCCAAAATAATGGCTTTATTAATGTTGATCTTACTGATAAATCATATGAATGATATGAGACTTATTGGCTTGTATCTACTCTACTGATACAACAGGCCACCCGCAAAATCCCTTTGTCTTTCAAAGCGCATTCATCTCAAAGTAGATTAAAGGTTGTTAACCTTTACAAAGTAGGTAATAGTGAAAGATGGAAAAGTTGTTTTAATAAATTATCAGTGAGCACAATCAGCACAATCAGGGAAATTATTAAAAAAATTATAAGCATGGAATGATAAGCATTTCCTAGAAGATAATGCATCAGCACAGCACAGTGAGACTTATGTTGACAGAGATAAAAAATTTTTAAAAACTCAAGAAGTTTCTGAACTGCATAGTTTGCTTGAATCTTGGTGCTTTAATATTTCAGAATTGACTGTCAGAGACCACCTGCATCACCTGAAGCTTTTTGGAAGGCTTATTGGAAAGAAGCCACCATTCCTGAGACACTGATTTTCCCAGCCTCCATATCTGTCCAGTTTTATTGTAGCTGTTTCTGTTTTATTAGAAAACAAATCAATGTTTGTCTTCTTTGCCCTCAAACCCTCTGTGAATTATTGTACAGTTTTAGACAGAGTGTCATGTATCAGTATTAATGTAAAACACATTATTGGCTTTCACATATGGAGAAAACAGCCGCAATGCCAGGTCATCTGCCCACTAGCCTCTGAGGCCTTAAGACAGCTCACTTCAGGCAGCGGGTAACCTGTGGGACTTAGGGCTGCTGACTGGATGGGCGGCTTCCAGATGAGGTGCACAAAAGGCACTCAGGAGCAGAGGATGGAGAAGCAGGAAGGTAGGTGCTAGACCAGATGGGACAGGCAGCACTAAACTCCACACTCTATAGAGACATTCTCTCAGTGGATCAACATGAGAATAACATTAAAGTGTGGTGTGATTCTCTCTGCTGAGCCTCAGAAAAACCCCGATCACAGCAGCAGAGAGTTTGGAGCGTCCCTCCCATTGTCCCTCAGGCCAATCCGATCTGCATTTGACCAACTGGAAACCAGAACAAAACCAGAAAACTCACCGGAAACCTAAGAACAGGACAGCAGCTGCCCAGGACACCAGCTGTGGAATTCTAATCAGGACCATGAACTCGGGAATAAGACAGCAGCTAACCAGGACAAGAGCCATGGACCATAAATCCAAAGCCACAAACCCAGTGATCATGTGGCAACACTGACAAAAACCCAGGAGGAACACAGACCAACTAAACCAAGCCCCACCGACTAGACTCTGCATCGAATACAGCTCTGCGCCTATGCTGTGAGAGAGACTATGATTACTGAGCACTGAGCAATGCTCACTGCTCTGTTTAAATGAGATTAAGAGTTAATTACCACTGTCTCAGAGCAAGATCACAGGCCAGGCGCAATTGCCTCATTACCAGTGAGGAACAGGTGTGATACAGAGCTGAACAACAACACTTTGAAATGGACTGTTCCGGACAGGGGAGGCAATGTGGTGACACCATAGTAAGTGTGGTCACCTCATACCTCTGGAGACCATGTTCTTCCCGCACCATCGTGGTCTTTCCTCCCACGGTCCAAAAACAAAGGACATATACTGTAAATGTAACTATGCATTTCATTGTATAATACTGTTCTCAATGTATGCACTCAGCAAGACAGTAATCACACCAAGTGGCAAGGTTGCATCATAAAAATAAATGCGTAGCTGTAGCGCATCTCATGGAATTACCCTCAAAGAACAGCAGCTATAAGCAAGCAAATGTTCAAATGCTGTCTAGATAATAATATGTCTAAAAGCAGACCATTTCCTAGTTTTAGTTCAATTGGCAAATAATGTATTTTATTTTGCGTGTTTTATTGCAATTTGTACCCTTCAAACCACAACTGCAGGTCCAACTGGGCATAGAAACATTGACCTTGTATCCTGGACATGTGTGTGTGACACTCAGCTATGTCGTATTTGGAGTATTTACTCTTAATGCTTATAAAAAAACAACAACATTTAGAAATAGCAGGATGCAAAACCTTTCACTATAATATTATGTTGAACTCTCTGACGACACGGCACTTAACCAATCAGAGAATGAGAAGACAAAACGGATGGGGAAGACGGTCACTGGTCCCGACGATTTCCGAAGATATTAGAGCGAAAAAGCTTCCACTCAAAAAAAACTTTCCTATAGTTTCAAGAGCTAATTAATAATGTAAAAATGCACATGACATATCCATATATTTATGCTGGAATTATTTATGATTTATGGCATTTTTTTTCCTTATCAGCGTTTTAATTTAATAAGCGTTTTTAATGGAATAAGCTGATCCTTTTAATGGAAAATGTTTTTTTAAATAACTAGTGTTATCTACGCATGAAACAAAACAGCCAAAAACACAATATACAGGCAAGCCAGAATCCTTAGAAATAAATTAATAATAACAAATTTTGATCTAAAACAACACATCTGTTTGTCACCCTCTTTAGTAAGATGACTCTCCTTCAAATCTAAACTGGAGTTTCCTGATTCATGTATAAATAGAATTAAGTACGAGCCTAGACGAGCAGAGCTAAATTTGGAAACGTGTCCGATCGTTAATTATGCTGGAGCTATTAATTACGATTTAAATGTTTTCATCGGAAACACACCGCGTTCAAATGGAAAATGCAGAAAAAGGTGGTCCGCTGTTAAAGAGTTAACCGCAGAGGGCATGGCTGTGGAATACAGAGCAGTGGCGAGCGGCAGGATTGGCTTTAGGCTTGGAGGGAGCACACAGGCGCTGCTCCACTGTACGTCTGTAGATTGTATATATGTGCCATGAATGAGGGTGTGATTGAAAACGTGCCGTTCTGCGGATGTGTTTTTATATTATTTGCGTGCGTTTGTGGGTTGTCAAGCTGTACCACACTCCCTGGGTTAACGGCATCACACGTTACCGTTAAAGATGCGCCAGTGCCATATGCTCTTAAGGATGCTGACGACTTCGGGGCAAACGTGAGCGACAAAATTATAGCCATGCTGTAAGAAGTACCTACATATTGCTGTACTACAAGGGCAAACCGCGTGCTGCTCCTATTACATTTCATTTTAAAACGACTGAAATATTTGATATCGCAGATATGGAATGAACGGATAAAGCCGGATAAAAAAAAATTAAAAAAACATTTTCACCTTGCTTTTCAGAGGTGTGAACGATTTTTGCAAAAGATCCTTTTTGGCCAGTTTGAGAGCGGCGAGAGATGTCATAATGTACTTCTTTTAGTGTTTTTTTTCTAAGATTGCACACTTACTGCGGTGAAGGTCCTCCTACTATGTAATTCTCAGTTATACGAAATAGCCTAAATTTGGCTAGATTTGCATGAATGGGAATATACCACTGATCGCTCTCGCAGCATCCGCGTGTTTTGATCGGCATCCGAGTTATTTTTGTTATGAATATATCATTCTTGTTTGAAACGGCAAGATCGAGATATAGGGAATCAGAGTTTTTAATTACGCAAAAGAAAGGAACTGTTTATGTTTTTTTTTTGCCAATTTGACTGACGCACTGTGGTATTTTCTGCTGTTTTCTTTAATATTGAAATCTGTGCGAATAGACATTTGAACTTGGAGACGCCATCCCGAAGGAATTTGATTTTTATGGTCAAGTGCAAGAAGGCAGCGAAAATCGGGTTTCTAAATAAGGAGATTGAGCCTTAGGATGGAGGGTCGTTGGGTCACTAACGAAGATTTCCTTGTCCTTTCCGTGTAAAGGCTGCGGCTGCATCCAAGAATCGATACAGGTACAGTTGAAATGTGGCTACATTAAAATCCCTGCCCTCCATGTGTTAATCGTTCGTATCCTAGTTTCCAGTACGCGCCAGCAGGGGAGGGGATGGTGAAAGATATGACCGCGTGTTTGGCTGGTTTGTTTGTGTCATTTTTGACTAGGATTTCACATTTTTTTCTTGGCTGGGTGTGTAAGACTGCAGTGAGAGTTAATGCCTGAATCGACCCATGGTTGTCGGTTACTCCGTTAGTCTGTATGTTTTTGCCCAAGTATTTTAGGATGAAAGGTTAATCTCTATTTATCTGCGCTTGTAACCTACTTAACCTGTAGCAGTGGGTAATACTAACAGGCATATGTATCTACGTTATTATTCAATGGGCGTTCCATTTTAAAATTAAGTGCCAAGTCAAGATCTGTACTCATAATAATCATAACACTTATATCCTAAGTATTCCATAAATTTCAAGGTAAATAATAGACTCCCTACCATTATTAGTCTGTATATTATCTGTAGTGATCTATAAAAAAAAAGTTTAAACACAGTCATCCGCTTGCAAATTTAGATAAGATAGAGGATACATGTTTGAGGCCTGTGATGGAAAATAGTCCAGTATAAACAGAAAGGAAATACAAAAGGAAAAAAATTAGGAAACAAATAGATTGTATACATAAATATAACTGTTATTCAAGGCTTCCTTCACATTTAGTCTAGTTTCCATATTTCAGAATTAATTATTTGGAATTAATAGTTATCCATAATTAATAATATTGACATTTTCCAAAATGTGAGGGTGTCTCAGTGGACAGCCTCAGGGCGGTGGGGTGGGGTTTGGCTAGGGCAGGGGTTACCAGCATTTTCAGTGGTGTTCCTGGTGATCAGTTGCACTGAACATAATTGGATTGGGGGCCCAAGGTGATGTATTTTCTTGGGGGCCAAAATTTCTAGCCGCATCCCTGCCAGTGATAGATTGCCAAGGTGTTTCCTTGCTTCCTGTGATAAGCTTATTTATGTGTGATCATTCATTCGTGTTATAATAATTCAAAACTGATGGAGTGACACATCTGGTTGCCTTGTCGTTAGTCAGCATCTAGATCAGAGGTGGCCAATCTTATCCTGAAAGGGCCGGTGTGTTTGCGGGTTTTCGCTGCAACTCCCTAATTAGATTACTAATTAGAGGACTGACTGACTGAAGAGTCCCCACACCTGGGTTTGAACAGCTGACCTACAGGTTATCCCAAAAGCCTGCATACACACCGGCCCTTTATGGATAAGATTGGCCACCCCTGGTCTAGATCATCCAACAATGCTCCTAGACCCTTCTGGCTCCCCTTTCACCTGTTCTGTGACTTTACTAGAGCTTAAGTATATTTTTGCTATCCCATTATTTCCAAGTAAAACTCATTTCAAAGTATCACCTATTTCTGCAACTCAGCCTTTTCCTTCCGCTTTTTCCCAGCATTCTCCTTTTTTCTCACCTCACAGTTGTGGGTATAGTAGCCACAAAATCTTGTTGCTCCATATATCCCTCTCCCCACCTCTACCTTTTATATCTTAATCTTCTCAAAGTGTAATTTGTCACATGTGTTATATGTCACTGAAGGCACATTCTAATTTCCTAATGATTTAATGGCTGTGGTTTGGTTTAAAGGAATTCGTATTCTGTTGCTGCCGCATTTCCCATTCTCTAATCTTATGATTGATATCATATTGGCTACTTGTTAAACATCCACTTGATTTAACGCAGTACCATGTTGTGAGGTTTTTTTCAGCGCGACACTTTAAGTCCTCACCCTGCACAGATCACAGAGCCCTGCCTTTGAAATTATTTTTTTAGACTCTTCACATGCGAGCAGCCAATCGCAGAGTGATATCAAAGATGAGGGCTCACCACTTGCCCACATCACCCTGCTCCTCTGGCCTCCCTACTCATTACCCATATGGAAACATTCATGCATTTTATGTGGTGGGGAAAATTAATAATGAAATAATCCATAAATAACCGGCCAGACTGTTTTTCTTCCCTACCTCCCATCCTCTGGGGATTTCGGGTTCTCTTTGTGTCCTTTCTGTATTTGCCGGCTTCTCGGTGTCTGTGCTCCTTGGGCGTTTGAGGAAGCTGGTAGTTAGGACTGGGCTGCGGGAGCATCGGCGGGGCGTGGGGAAGGTGTCAGCAATGGCAAGTATGAGCATGTGACACGGAATACGTGCAGCAGATCTACTGACAGATGTGCACAGGAATGCGCACCGAGGCAGAGTCTGTCAGCTTATTTCTGCATGCTGGGTGAAAACGGCAAACCCACAGCTTTTTCTCGGAAGTCCTTGTGGCCCCTTTCATGCGTTTCCCCTGTTTTTAGCTGGAGTGGTGTTGAGGTGGGTGGGATTGCTGGGTGTCCGTTTGGATTAAAGCTGTTTGACTCAAATTAGAGATGAGGGGAGACCCACAGGCAGGAGAGCGGGGCGAAGGAGAGAAGGCGGGGCTGCAAAAACACAGATGAGGAGAGAAAAAGAACATTTTTAATGGTAGGTAGAGAAAGATGAAGGGAAAGATGGAGAGAACGAAAAAGGGTGAGGAGGAATGAAGAAGTGTGCAGCGATAGTATAATTAGGGCAGTCTCTGCTTCCAGTTTCTAATTAGACATTCAGGGCAGTGCACACCCTGCCACTGGAGGCTTACTGAATATTTTAATCAGAGCCTAAATCAAAGTCTTTTTTTCATCCCTCTCCCGCTCTCTTCTCCTTCTGCTGCATGTGGGACAGGATGTGTGCTGGAGGAAATGAGGGCCACTGCGAGCAGATCGCTCTCTCCGCTGATTTTTTCATGCAGCCTGTGAAGGTGTCGGGCAGAGAGTGTCAGGTGCTCCGCCAGGCTGGGGATGGGCTGTAAGCAGAAGGCCGCACCCNATGCAGCCTGTGAAGGTGTCGGGCAGAGAGTGTCAGGTGCTCCGCCAGGCTGGGGATGGGCTGTAAGCAGAAGGCCGCACCCAGCCCCCCCCCCCCCCACCACCACATGCTTCTCCCAGGGGTCACTGCGTCTATGTGACATCACACAGCTGGTATTGTGCGATCTTGTTGGCATCACAGCTTCTGCTGTTGAAGAAACAGAACCGATCATGAAGTCTAGGAGTATACAGTCCAGTTCTTGCTTATGTACACATTAATAAATGAAAGACAGGATGTAACTTGGAGGACACCAACCCTCATTATATTGCCGGCAGTGCAATGGATCTCTCTAACTTTAATCAAACATGTGAAATTTCCATAAATATGTGCAACACTGTAGGATGGCAACAGTTTATGCCGGATGTCCTTGTCCTAAGGCACCCTTCTGCGGCTTTGCCACATTTTCTGCAAGTCTCTCTATGTGTCTCATCTGTGCGTTTAGGGACATAAAGCCTGTTTGATAAAATTCAGATATTTTATCAGGTTAGCAAGTTTTAGGAAAAAAGTTTAGTGTTTATCCTATAAGGAAGGCTATTCATTTACAATATTAAATTTAACTGGATATGTTATTTTTAAATGGAGATGAAACCTTTTGTATTTTTAAGCTGTGTGGTGCTTTTGGCCGTATTCGCTGTCTATCTCATGACTATATATGGAGGGGCGACTGCACTACCGTGCACAGATTTCCTCTGTTAGTTTTTGTTTTGAACTGGGGCAGGTTTAATGGGGCACAGAGACAAATTGCAGAGAGAGTAGCCGTGATGCATGCAGTCTCTCATGTGCTCTGACAGGAGTTTATGCTGATACAGATGCGCTAAACCTTTGAATCAGTGGGACAAGCAAAATTTTGGTCCCTACCAGACCCGGCGTCTGAGGGGGACGACCGGGGAAGGTATCCGAGGCTCAGCCCAGGGTGGGGGACAGGAGAGACAGTGATCCCTATGCCAGGGGCCCCGTTGAAATAATTTTGTCCTGGGTGCAGGAATCAGGAACACCAACCCTGGTCCCTACTAGAGTGGGAAGGAAGTGATATTGAGCGGCAATGCCAGAGGGTGTAGAGGATCTGGGGGGGGGATGCATCACAGCCCTGTCTCTGGCTGCTATGTTTCTCCTTGAGGCATGAGGCTGTGAAGTTATGGATGGCTGGCTGTGCGCTGCTGGGTCTGGGATTTCCCTCCCTTAGCACGTGGACTCCAGTGACCCTGGGGTCAACGGCTAATTCCCACCATTGCTGTAGCAGAGTGGCGACGCTAATCTGAGCTGGGGACAGTCGGCTGGACAGCTGAGACCACAGACCCAGGAGCCGTTCACCGCCTTATGTATTGCACAGCATTCATCTGCTGCTGGAGCAGATGCCAGAACCCATGTGTATTTGGACAGGCTACGGCTCTGTAGTGATCGCTAAGCAAATGTCACTGAAGCTAAATAAGAAAAAGCTAAAAGGAAGCATCCATTGCCAGTGTTTTCTCACTCACAAAACGTGCCTCTTCGTGAGAGAAATGAGCTGAACTTCAGCCCTGGAGCTGCAGCTACACCCATGAGCTGATTAGCATTTGTTCATGAAAGGGGTGATGACACTTCAGTGAAACGACCCAAATAATATTAGGTGAGTTTGATAGCCTTTAGAAACACATTTCTCCTGTAGCAGAACTCATGTACAGTCAGATCCATCCATGCAAATGAGTTGAAATTAATGGCATAAAGAAAATAGATTTTTATTACAAATAATTACAAAAAAATGATAAAATTATACAAAAAAATCATTCCCTGAAACACCTGTATGTGTGATAAGAAAAAAGAACAGCCCGTGGGAAATGTTAAAGAGGAAACGATAATTCTTATACTTTCAAGACCTAAAAATACACTTCAGATCGTCGCTTGGAATCAAGGGAAGTTGATAAGAACCTGATACGTTGAACAAACCTTTTATACACACTTAATTTAAGCAGTAAATTTACTTGTTTTTATTAAATAATGTTAATCAGATTTACTAAGGAAATCATCCGTGTGAATATCACTCTAGCAAAGAAACATAAGTAGCTGAGCTTGCTTCTGTCTTTATGAAGAGTATA